CTGCATTAAGAGCAGCTGGCACGTAACGCTGGCTCAAAGCTCGGCAGCTGAGTAGCAGAGATGTTCCAGCACGACCAAGTCTCTGGGTCAACACACTCGGCCACATCCACCATGACTCACACCGCGGCGTCGACAAACCCTCCCCCTTACAGCCCCCACCCAAGTCCCGGGTTTCACACCTCAACCATCAGTGATCACCTCGTACAGATAACCAGATGCTCAGTCGCCGTCGATAAAAAAAAACAAGCCCATGTCATCACTTTTCTCAAGTCGCCGTTTGTTGAGCCCGACATCGGTGCTTTCAATGATAAGCGCGTAGAAAGAGTCGATAAAAAGCACATCAAAGAAGTGAGATGAGCGTTTCCTGATACGCCGTCGACCTCCATTACGTCGCGACTTCTCCCTGACAGCGTCGATGAGGTACCAGAGATCGCTTGCCTGGCAGCCAGCAGCGGCTCTGAAAGACGGGCGTAACGCGGGCGTTGACGTGACACCCTGCAAGTGCTCCAAAATGAACAACTCGATGATGAAACAACAACCTTGCAATAGCTTGCTGCTCGTGTCTCATGCATGAACAAAGCGTAATCCAGCAATAATGAGTATAGTATTCAGTTTCTCATCACATTGGTATGGCATCCTTTGAAAAAAATATCCACCAAAACTATGCTTCAGAACCATTGATAGTACCGGTAGGTAGTGAGGTTAAAAATGAAGTTGGACCCTAACGTTCATTAGGCAGGCACTTCAACACACGGAATGGCAACTGCTTTACGCTCGGAGCAAATAACAGTTAAAAGAAATAATCGCTGTTAACATTTCTTTCATGTCGCTGTAAGAATAATCGGCAGAAATAAATGGATAATTATCGTAATCCTCCCGGCCGCTTAGAGCTGGCGTCAACTTTTGTAATCACGTATGCAATGCAAGCTGAAACGCGGTTTGCTTGCTGCTCTTCCCGAGTTCAGTTATAAGAAAAAATATAACGTGACGACAAAAGTATAACAAGCTTTTTGCCTAAGGAATAACTCAAGCCTAATCATTATTTGCTCCTATAATCCCAAAAGATACACAATTCTAGGGGCGGATTTTGGAAACAAATTACGCTATGATCCACCTTTAGAGAGAACGTCCAGATGTATTGATGAACACTAGTTTTATTATTTAGTCTGTGATCGTTACAAATCCTCCAGGAGATCGTTGTGTGTGATAGTGTTGAATGAGGCCATAGCAGATAGAACGTAAAATAAAAATAACAGTTAATAATTTTTTTTTAAACGTTTTTTTTAGAGCAATGTATTATTGAGTTCAGAAGAGACTTTTTACCTCTGTACGTCATAAACTGAAAAAAGGTATCTTTCAAGAGGCTTACCATAGATGCAATATTTTCCTGAATAGTCATACTATTATCTCTACAAACAACCTTCCATGCTAGAATTTCCCACCTGATAATAGATAGTTAGAATTTTGAGAAATTTAGTTACCAAATTTGAGTTATGATTTATCGCATTAAAGATTGCACATTCATTTTTTCAACGGACGTACATCATTTTATAAGCAGAAAACAAGAAAGTCGGCCTGCATTGCAGGAGACTTAACTGGAAGCAAGTACGCACATACAGGAATAATAGGAAGAAACTAAAAAATAAACATCTTGGAGCCACGAGACCTTGCATGGAGTGCCGACTCTCCAGAGGGCAAGGGCAGGCATGAGTCAGACCGTTGCGGGGAATTTATCGCCTTTGATTTAGTTACCATTCGCGTTTAAAGTAAGAGGTCAAACTGAACTTAAGGCCTATGACATAAAAAAATTAGATCACACGCACAATCCTTAAAAATATTAATCTAGCGATTGATTTGAAGTGATGGTTTCAAATGTAAGTTGAATGCAAGATTGAATTAAGACTTCATCAGAATCGAGAAATTTATTGGAAAACTCCAAATCATTGAAACAAATGTTATCCATGTCAACCGCAAATTGATAGTGGCAATCGCAAATCAGGGTCGTTGTTTTTTAGAAAATGAAAACATCGTAGAACATTAATTTTTAATTATATGCTTTCATTAGAGCAATGTACGCGGGTTAAAAGAAATGCAATTGTTTCATATTAAGAGCCTGTTAAAGCATCTACCCTCACTTAAGATTTATTGGCGTTATTCCGTTTGTAAATTCTTATTTCGTCTCGCTAAATTTTCAGAAATCTGCATCCCAAAGTGAAACTCTAACACGACGGTCTAGTCTCACTGCGAGAATATTAAAAAGGAATACATGGATTTTTCATGAAGAAGAATAACTTGCAGCTCGATGACAAGACCGCTGTCGTCAGCAAGAACTTGCTGGAGAAAGAGGTCGTCTATGAGTCCTGCTGGCGCTCTAGTGATGTAAAGGACGGGCGGTAGGGGAGGAGGTCGTGAATGAGAAGAAAAGGGAGGTCGTACAAACGTACACGGTTCGCATTATGGGTGCAAAGGCCGAGGGGCCACGAAGGAGGAGGCGGAGGAGGACGTTTCTACGTACTCGTGTCGCCGCCGTGGACGCTGAAGCCAGGCTAACAGGCGAGGAAGAAATGCAGGGAGACGGAGAAGGTCGTGGGACGACACACGGCGCCCCATGGACGCAAACGGCCACACGGACAGGCGAGAAGGCCATGCAGGAGGACGGAGGAGGTCGTCAGTATCTATACGTGCACATGGCGCCCATGGACGCAGCGGCCATATGGACAGGCGAGGAGGCCATGCAGGAGGAAGGAGGAGGTCGTCTGTATCTATACGTACAGTCGTGCACATGGCGCCCCATGGACGCAGCGGACAGGCGAGGAGGGCATGAGTCAGAGAAGGGCAGAGTAGCGGCGGCGAGCGCGCTCGAGAGAGTAGCCATGTCGTGCCCGCCGCCCTTGACCTGGCATGGGCCACTCCATGCAGGATGGCTCTTGCAAACACAATAATATTTCTGCAGGCCACTCACACAAACAAACGAGCTTATCCCGTGCAAGTGAGGTGTACGCGGAAACCTAATTATATAGTAAGGACCTAACTTCTAAAACAATCGCTCATTCCCTTGGCTTTAAAGTTCGTTCAACGCGAAAAAACGAAACAACGAAAAAAGGAACCTGCAAAAGCGACTACTTATGAATGAAAAGGCAAAAAAATATTCTTTTCTTGATTCTGAGAAAAAAAAAGAAACAACGAAAAAAGGGACCTGCAAAAGCGACTACTTACGAATGAAAAGGCAAAAAATATTCTTTTCTCGATTCTGAAAAATTCTAGATTTTTTTCTTGTCTGGAACTCACTGGACAAGTTTTACTCACAGAGCTTTTCCTTCTCAACATAAATCAAATGGCTCATCGAAATGAACTACGGTACTTAACAATTAAGGGAGTTAAGATAATTAATAGTTATTTGTTGAGCCAAAATATTAAACATCAGTAAATCAATTCATTGGCCTGTAATCGTAATAGATTTTTTTATAACACTATGAGATAAATACAATCCAGTAAATCTGTTCAGACTGATGCAGGTTCAATTAGACTTCTAAACTTCACTAAATAAATTATAATAATTCGCTATCTGCAGCAATTTTCGCCATCTAGGCAAATTCTTCAGCCAGCGACTGCTTCAGATGCCGAGCGCGGAATTCTTTCTTTGCAACGTCAATGCAAATGAAGTCACAAAATGAAATTTATGAAAACGAAAATTTATACTAATTATTACGAGTAAAACTTTGTCTATAAATTACAACTTCAGGTTTTAACGGGTGCGAGGAAGCACTTCACATCTACTTTCTGTCGAACAAATCATAAATTTTGTGTTCACAAAATTTCGTAAAAATGTGAAAAATAATAATATAATAATGATTTACAAGTTTACAACAACTAGCATAAGTCAAATCTTTCGATATTCATAATTAAAACAAAATATTATCAACGAAAAATGAGTAAAACACAACCTCGGTGGTCCTAAGATCCCAATAATTGCAAGTAATAAACTGGCAAGCAAAGCAATCAATAGCAACTTGCTCGTAGTAGCTTTGAATAGGTCTTTATGTAGAGCTCGTGACACGTGAGAACCATTCTAAAATGTCTATATCAACCGCTAACGAACTAAGTCATTCCGCAGCATGAATAAACACTTTTTACAGATTTCCTCTCTAGCATTGATCACATTGATGTGAACGGCTATATCGAGAAGCAGATAGATCAATTTCCGGCATGTGTGATCACTACGTCAGCAAAACTGGTAAGGTAACCTTAATGAAGGAATGCATGTAAAGCTTTCTCTTGAACAAGCAGAGAACAGAAGTTGTTTATGAGCTATTGATAAAATTCGGAAGTTTTCTTTCAAATTTATGCTCAAAAGATTTACGTGCTCGCTCACTAACCTAACACCTCACAAAAACAATTTGGCTTCTTTTGAGCCATGAGAACGAAATTATTTAATAATGTGGCACATATCTTATAGGAGAGCTGCTGAAAGACTTGCAAGTATTGTCAGTGGATGATAGTTGTCTATACGATAACATATCAGCAGGAGCAGTCTGACAGCACTGTCGCCATTCAAGTATTTCGTTCAATGGTGCTCGGCGACACCCAGACCAAAAACAGTGATAATTACCACCTGATAATAATATCTAGCGCAATTAAAATTGAAGTAAATATATTACTTCGAATTGAGTGCATATGGCGCTCTAAAATCTAAATCAACTTAACACTTAAATAGCACAAAGATTCAGCTGAATTGGGCAGCCGAGAATCCATGGTTAACTTATATTAATAGAGGTCAATGTATAATGAATTCAATATCGATCAAAATGGGTCACAAGACTGATTTAGAATTATCAGCTGAATAATAAAAGAATCAATCTATGACATTCAACGCTAGCTGGAACGGGTGTAAATTAGGCTTAAGGTAACACGCTAGGAAGATCCTCTGCTTGTTTTTGAACACGACAAAACTATTGTATAACTATAGTCAAACTGAAATCACGAGAATAAGTTCGCCTTACCTTTTCATTTCACGATGGCGCCAACCAGATTTTTTGATTGCTACTTTCACTTCGGCTACTCAAAAATTTATTTTTGATAGCTGTGAAATTAAGAATAGTCTAAAACTTTTCTCTCAAACCAGCCTACAGGTAGCAGCAAAACGGTGTATTGTAGAAAATAAAATATTAATACCGGTGATGCATGTGTGCTCAGTGAGTGACAGCTTTCGAGTAAACGAGTAGCTCAAGCGCACGACCGACACCTCACACTACAAAAGCTAGCACGTAACTGAGTAAACTGACAACATGGAGTCATGGTCGAGCGCCTAGCGGGCAGCGGTGTTTAGCAGTCAGAGGACTCAGAGTCAGCGAAGCTGTGGCCGAGCAAGTTAAGACAGCGCGAGGTAAACAACCGGACACCAGATCATGTGCACCGATTTGCGATTTCCACCAGTCTTCATTTGAGCCGTGGTTGAACTAAATAGTTCAACCATGATTTGAGCGGCGACAATAAATTTAAACTGTTAAATTTTTGTACGAACCCCAACAAATTCAGATTTCTAAATTTTTAAAAGGCCACAAAAAACTTTTGAATTTGGAAGTAATCATTTCTTGATCATTTCTAATAATTGGAAATATCAATTAATTCAATCAACAAAATAAGTGTGAGTTTAGTTTTCTAAAATATCAATGTTAAGTTTTGACTGTTTCACACGGTCGAAGAAGCTTTATTTTTCATAAATGTAGTACAGAAGCATTTGGTTAAAAATGAAAAAATAAAATAATTGCTGATGGAAAATTAGAGCGTTCATTTTATTCTTTAAACATTTTCACTACCAGGACGTTCTCCTTCCAGCCAATTGAATAAACCCACAGACCATCATCGACCCAAAACTCCATACAATTTTAAGCGTAGAAGACTGGACGTAATAGAAGTAGAATCACAACATTGCTCCTGCAATAGCGATTTACTATTGCCTTCTCACAAAGGCATGTCAATGCAACAAGTATTCGCTTGACATATTTGTGGTTATGTTTTTAGATACGAATTAGATCGTTCATAGGCGAGCCCGACACACACTGCGTAATGCCCTTTTGTTGCACAACATAGGCAAAATGAGTCCTAGATGCAGAAGCGATGAAGCAGTTGTTTGTTGCTGTCGTGCGCCCGAATCTAGAGTTTGGAAACGTTTTGTGGTCACCGAGATGTGAAAAGGACAAGAATTTAATAGAGAATGTTCAAAGACGTGCAACAAGGATAATTCCAGGCTTGAAGGGAAAGTCCTATGAAGAAAGATTAAAGATTATGAAGCTTCCTATAGCCTCAGTTATCGACGTCTGCGTGAGGACCTCATTGATGTATACAAGTATACTCATGGTTTATACAAGGTCCCCGAAGGATTACTAGAATTTGAAACAAGAACCAACACTAGGGGCCACCACTATAAACTGAAAAAACTGCGCTGCAACTTGTCCACGCGACAACATTTCTTCTCGCTTTGAATCACCGACATTTGGAACAGCCTCCCCGATGACATCTTCGACGCTCCAAGTATGAACGCGTTCAAGAATAGACTAGATAAAGTTATGGAAAATATATGTTCAGATTTGAAATGCCTAGCCCCATATCGAACCCGGTGGAAGTCTAGTAGCTACTGTATGTCAAACTATCGTCAGTCATGAAAAGATCCGGTCAAATGACACGATTTTTAGATCTTCTGTGAACAAGGCACAAAAAAGGAAAAGAATCGGCGACAGCCCAAATCAGGCCTACACTTCAGCGCCGACATCTCTATGTTATGTTAAGATAGTTTTAATGCCAAGGAGCTCACTGAGCATGAGGTTGATAAGAATTACTCGAGGGGCTAGCGTCCTACCTTCAGTACAGTAGGGTGTTTCACGTTGCTCAATTTCACTTTATTTATCTGAAGGTTCTTATCATGATTAAGTGGTCATAAATACTCAAGTATAACGATGGAGACGGGCTCACGGGAAGATGTGATAATATTACACTCATTTGCTGTCACTGTAGCACCTGAGTCGGAATGTTTTCACCAGTCGAGATATACATGTACAATGATATTTGTATTCGAATGGACCCCTCCATCATGGCTCCATGTACATACATCCTTATTGTCCTGATGTGGTTACTAATTGGTAAGCAGTTTTACACTCGTATTATTTTATTTCATTCACACCACTTTCAAATATTTCGACCTACTTCCGTCTCGTCAACCCTCTGGAGTTCCTTGACCTCCCGGGGCTGCTAGCGGCCTCTTTCCTACAGCTCCGACCCCTGTTATTTGATTTGGACCTCAGCCAGCTTTATAAATTTTTATCGAAATCGGCGTGGTTAATAAAAACAAGAAAACGTTGTTCTTAACTGACTGACTAGAACAATGCTTAAAACATATTCTAACTTCATCTTCGTAACAAAATACATATTTCGTTGAGTCTGGTGTAGCTAACAAAAGTTAAACATCTCTCCTATTATATCTACCTTACTATATGCAAATAATTTTGAACAACTATAAGTATAACATTAGCTATATTGTCATTTGATTAAATTAGACTGTACGTCTGGCGGCACTTACAATACGGCATATTTAAACAGAGGTGGGCAGTAGCGCGCTACATGTAGCGGCCGCTACATTTCAAAGTAGCGCTGCCCAGCTCTGGTCGTTATAGAGCAGTGGTCCCAAACTTTTTCAGGCTGGCGCAGCTAGCGCATCCCCCCCCCCGACAGACACATTTAAAAACAAACGCCTCTTTCTTGATATTTAGTACGCTGAAATTTTATAAGAAAAAGGTTAAATACAAACGTGTATTTAAAAAATGGATCCATATTTAGTAAACCAGTATATTTTCTACAATTTCAACTGTTTCAGCACTAGAAATTTAAGACAGCTTCGACAAACTTACGGCCGGACTAGTGGCCGGTCTCACGGCCAATCTCCAAATTCAGTGACCAAGGAATATCTCCCAAAGACCCAAACCAATGAAGGCAGCTCGAAAAAACGTGGAACACGTAAGTTTAAGGACCTAACAGTGATGCTTAGCTTGTGAAAAAATGTTTAATTTCACATTCATTCGGGAGTTATATGGCGATATGGGCCGAAATTCGCAGTGGCCAAAGAATTTCTTCCAAACTCCTGAATAGATTCGAACGAAATTTTGAATATAAATTCCTAATTAACAAACGGTGATTTTTAGCTCGTGAAAATTTATTCAGGTCGGAGTCATGTTCTGCATGTGTCGTGACCACGAGACCAGCTTCCTGTGATTCTATATGAACTAACAAGAAGATTAACAGGGAGCATCGCCGTGTTCCATCAATTTTTTGCGACAGGCGTGACGAGGCGTCCAGATCATAAGGCTACATTCTGTACATCGAGGAACTATTTGAATCGTAGGTTCGTAGTGACGGATCAACGTACAACTTGCGTCTTGCAGCCCTAATATTACTACGTAACTGTAAGTAACTTCTTAACGAACGCGGTTACGCTTACCGGTAGCTTAGTCCAGGCTCCAGCCTCCAGGGACTCGGTCAGCCGGGTCAGGGGAGAAATCTACTGTTACGGCCTACGGGAGTTAATAATTGATTGTTTATTCGTTGAATTTCGTTCAGACTTTATTAATAGTGATTGCATAGAGGACAGTGTCGGTCCTGTCGGACGCAAACGTTGCAAAGTAAGCCGAAGTTGGCAATGGTTGATGAATGATAGGCTAGTTCAGCCTAGTTGTTACTGTTAGAGAGTGTTAGTAGCTAACATACCTAAGTTTCTAAGTTCTAACCAATTTACCCCCTTTGTTTACCTTGCATTCAGATCCATGTTATCATGGAATTTCAAAAATTATCAATGAGAAATATTATTTGCCACTTCAAATTGCAAGTCTTTGCTAGTTTTGACTTTTGAGGAAGTTGATTGTCATGATTGGTAGATTTAAATGCATTTTAACATCCTACAAAACTACCGTCAACCGGGGCTACTCGGGACCTAGTCTGGAAAAGTCCTATTTTAGTCTGAAATATCGCGGCTCTAATATCATATAATTTCAGTAGGTATGAAATCTCGCAGCTCGAATGTCATAAATTTTTGTTTGATTAAAAAATCGCGGTTTGCACTTCGCAAACATGTCATTTCATAAAATTTTCAACTTCCGCAATCCGCATTGCTTTACCGTTTCCGCCAAAAATATCTTGCAGA